AACAAGACCTGTCCTTGTGTAATACAGGCGCTCTCTCCTCCAACGTTTTCATGGGGCAAATGAAAATGACGTCTTACTCCCTTTCTGACTGACTAGCATCGCCATCTCCCCTGTGCACCCAAAGCTTTTAATGGAGATAATCTTTCTACTTAACCATCAATAGCCTCTGAAACAAACATCTATGCTTCCTCACACCCTTTAATTTAGGTGATCGTCCAATAAAGAGGTACAGGCTTGAGACAAGACTGGTCCTTAGACACACCCTGGGAGCATTTCAAAGTATTCATGACAGCAATTGCATCATGTATTTGTGTAGCACTCAGTGATTTTAAAGGAAATTTCAGAAAAGGGAGACATTAGTTAGATCTAGAGTCCGGTCTGTGAGGCTGGCGCCACTTTCCACATTACTACTATCGGCTGACGAATCCCTCCTTGCCCTTTTGCCGTCACACTAGGGTGGCATATTCTTGTGAAACACGAAGCCATTATTTTCCTCACATGGAAAGAAACCAACAGGGTAAATGTCATTTTTTTTTTTTTGGTGAATTCAAAAGACTTTTTAAAAGACACATTCAATAGACTTTAGGAGATCTTGAAACAATGGTATTTTCATATCAAACATGTTTACTTTAATAACTCAGATTCAGGAGGTTGTTTACTTCCTGGTTTCCGTATAGAAATTTTTTTAGGCTGACTGCATGTGCAAGCTATGTTGTATTATGGATTAGTTTTTCTCCTGAAACATTTTTGACAATACAGACAGGCATAAAGAAAAACATAACAAACACCCATGACTTCACCACCCAAGACTGATATTTATAACATTTTGTCATAAAAAATATAATGTGGATGCTCGCCGTGCTAGCCCTTGACTTTCCAAAACGTGCCTCTGACAGCGGAACTGTGGACGTGGACTCAGCACTAACTCACCGTGCCGACCTGTTCTGCCGAAGGACTGGTGTCCACTGTGAGGAGAGCTGAGACGCCACGTTCTCAGGCAGTCTGTCTTCTCCATCCAGCTGCTAACATGCTATGCGCTCTTGACTTCATCTCACCAGCCAACCTGAAAAATGAAGACTCCAGTATAAACGAACGGTGTAAATAACCATCAGTCATCACTGCTGGGGACTTCACCAGCAAATATGTCATTCCTGAACTGGTACACATTTCTTAATTACTTTGGAGAGGTTTCCCACTGCTAATAATTATACAGGCTATTTCCTAGTATGATGAGAAAAAACATGCATTGATTCCTATCCTATAATGCCAGTGAAGCAACCAAAACACTCTACATATAATTTCCCCTCTAAGTAAGAAAACATGCAACAGCTCCTGTTTTTCTTAAAGGTAGTGGGCTTATTTCTAAATTACTTTAAAGGATGAGTGTTTAAATGTTAACCTGGTGCTAGTTCTCTCAGGGAAAAAAATAGGAAGATGAAACAGAGGAACATTCCTAGAAATGAGTGTGTGACCTCTGTGGTCCTTACAGTAAATTATACCAATTCTACATTGATGTTTGTGTGTTGTGCCCTATTAAGCTGATAGAACTTTTCCATTAAGTGGGCAGGTGGATTTCCTGTAGTACCCTGATTGCCTGAGAGGTACATTGTTTTCTCATGTTTCCATTACAGCATAGAGACCCAGAGGGAATCCTCTGTGGTATTCTCACCTAGGTTGTGAGTCTGTGTTGGTATCTGAGAGGTGAATATTAATAGCCTGTTGGCACTAAAGTAGGGATTTCCCTGTGCATGGGTGGATTAACCTTTCAAAATATATGTTTCTACTTAAACCACTGAGTTACTGTTTGATTCAGAGTCATAAAGACAAGCTCTCCACGTCCCTCTTGGACCTGGCAGGGTGCTTAACTAGGTCTGAGAGGGACTCCAGTGCGGAGCCTGGTGAGTAACACGACGCGTCGGTGCCTCTGCTTTCATTTTGCTTACTTACCAGAGCTGGCTGTAGCTCAGTTTCTCTTTAAAGTGCCTGAAGTTTTCATATGAAAATGGCAAGTGTGATTGGTTGCGAATTTGATAATATCAGGCAATTGAGAACGGGTTCCATGTATTCCAGGTGGGAAAGGAGCTAGGACGTATAAACTGTGATAACGTGTGATGTTCTCCTTAAAAATTTCTGTACCTTCTGCAGTGAGCGTTGTGCATGTCAGACGAATGAGCTTCTGAAATGACACGCTTAACTATATGAATGTTATCCTGCTGACTTCATTATTTCTAACTGTTCTGTAAATGATAAGTAAATGTGGGTCGTTAAATGAATGGTTTTACTATGCTCGCCCTCTTTGCTTATCACGGGGCTCAGCAATGTGGGTTACACGATGATGCGTGCTAGGACGAGGCAGTGTGTGTCACCGTGGGGGCACGCTTCCCCGTGTCTTCATGGGACTACACAACCATGCTCATGGGGAGTAGAAAACGTTACAAAAGAATGTATTTTTGAATACAAAGTCACTGGACTGTTTTATTTAAATAGTCCCATTTTTCTACAAGTTCCCTCAGTATAATTTAAGTGTAAGCAAGCCACTGACACCCGAGGAAGGCCATTTTAAAAGCCAGCAGTGGACAAAAGTGGTCTCGAAGCCTATGAGCCGTTATGATGTGTCCTTAATCTAGCTAGAGTCAGTTTGTAGCTTAGCCACACAATTCCTGCTGGGAAATGCTAAGAGGCTGCGCTCTTCCTGGGAATCTCAGGCAATGCCCCGCTGCGGAAACCCCAAAAGCCTTCTTTACGGGTCAGCCTCCGTGGCCTGTCCCCACGCGTGAGGCCGCACATGGCCTTGACGTCATGGGCCACAGGCGAGTCTTTGTGGAATGGGTTTGGGTCAACAGAATGTTTTCAAATATGCGCTCCTCAAGTTTTTGAAGCTGTTTTTTTTTTCTTTCGTTTTTTAAACTCAGAATTGTAATATACTATTAAAGCCCCCAGACTAAGGGGAAGCACTCCCCCTTTCTTTTTCTCTCTCACACCGCCACCCCCCTGTGGCTTGCTCCCACTCCCTCTCTCCACCTGTGTCTGCATCTGAATTACCATGCCAGCGGCTTCCAGCACCACTTTTCCATTGAAATGTGCAGCCACTGTACCATTTCCCAGTTTGAATGAGATAAAGGAGGTATGACTGAGGAAGAAATAGACGTTTTTAAATATGGGAAGTTGAGTGTTAAGCTTAATTCCTCCTGCTGATGGAACCTGAAACACACAGATGTTAAAGGGACTGATACAACAAGCAGGAGAGATGGCGGCCGCCCCAAAGGCCTAATCAATCAAGGCCCCCGCTTCCCGACCACCCTCCTCCACTGAGGTTAGGCCTCTTTATTGGGGTGGGGGGTGCTAAGGGCTGAGATGCTTACTAAGTTCTTTGTCAGCTGAATACTTCCGGCTGAGGGTAAAACCCTAGGCCTCCTTTTAACTGTTATCTTTTTAAAAATGCTCTTTAATGCTTCATTCTTTAGCGCTTTAACTATCAATTTCTAAACTTTGCTTTCTCCTTAAGATCAGATAATGAAGACCTCTCAGGCAAAGCTGCTCCTCACAGTGGTTTTCCCATCTGTTGGGAGTTGTGACAGTTTGGATCTTTCAACTATTGTTTCCATGAAGGATGAAGGACTTAGGATAAAAGAAATGTACTTTCCACACATATGTCCTCAAGTCTTTAAGAAAGAGGCAAGAATAAAAAAATGTCCCTCTACTGAAATTGTGCAGAGCATGAGTAAAAAATTAATTTTATTTGAAAACACTGCCAAGATGAAATGTCCCCATGGTTTTAAAATGAAAACAACATATGGGTGAAAATTATTCCAGTGGCTGCAAAGCACAGTCCCAACAAACGGATCCCTTAATTGATCTAAGGATGTAAAAAGCCTTGGATGAGAGAGAAATAGTCACAGGGGGGCAGTGAGTACACAGTTAATAGGTTTTGATGGTAAGTAATCAGTTAATTACTCTATGCTTTTGCTAATCTGGCATGTATAAATTCTGCAAGAAGAAACATATGAAGGAGTGTAATTCAAAAAATCTATTTGAAGGTAAATCATCCCTTTTGACTTTAAATTGCATCTTAAATTACAAACATGGTGCATTCCTTCTGATGTGAATAAATACTGCTATACAGAACACGTTATGTCCAGATGACGCTGAGACAGATGGTATACTTACAAGGTGCATCACCAGTGTATTCTTCCGTAGGTTGCCATAGTCGCTCTTTTTCTTCATTTTGGAGAATACGTTAATCATTTTCTGCAAACCCTTCACTAGGAGAAGCTGTTTAAAAGTCTCTGGGAAGATAAATTAAATTATGAATGTTAAAATAAGCAAAAAACTGTTCAGCTTAAACAAGAGCAAATGCTTCCCTTTTGAATTTTCCTGAGAGAGGACCGTAAAATATTGGAAGCATAGTAAAACAAGCAAATGTGCTTTATAATTGAAAAAAATGAGTAGGAAGCTTCCAGGCTTCGAAGTATTTAATGTAGACAAATTTAATCCTACCTAAATATGTGTCCAAAAAAAAGATGAATTTCTAATTAGAGATTGTTTTAGTGCTTATTTAAAAACAAGAAAAAAAAATAACTGTAAACAATAACTTAAGGTAAGACTAAGGCAGAAACTATAAAATTAGTCTGAGGGGATCTTGAATTTCACAAGTAAAAAGCAAGGGATGGATTTTGTATCTGAAATTTGGTGTCCAGGGATCAAGTCTCATCTCAGCTTTTCATTATCAACAGAAAGCATTTATTAAAATCCCAGGGCTGAGCTCAGTCATTATTAACTATTATTATAATTAAACATCTTTCATTTATTTTTTTATTTGAGTCATACTGAGAGAGCAGAGTTCCATATATATCTATATCTATATCTATATCTATATATATATATTTATTTATTTATTAATCCAGGAATAGCCACCTGATGTTAAAATTCCAAGGTAATTTCTATGTAGCAATTGCTTGATTTTAATAATTAGAATGTTATTATCATATATATTATTTGTTATTTATGTTCTCGGTTTTTTTCTTCTTATTATTATTATTATTATAATTATTATCATTATTAATACTTTGAAAGTATAGTCTCCAGCATGGCTTCTATCGCTAGAATTTTGTTGTAAATCAGAATACCCTCACCTGAAGCATAATCCCGTAAAACAAGCAATAACACATCCTTATTCTCACATTTTCATAATTATCAGCAAAACAGTCAACATTCGTAAATAATAACATACGTTATAACACTCATGTGCCACAAAAACCATTTTCTCTACAGGCTTTTCCATGAGTTTTGAATGGCAAAGATTTCAATTCCATCGTGCTTATTTAGAGCGTCCTACTCACCAGGCAACTCTGGTCAAATCTTGTAGTGCACGTGAATTGGAAGTGCTTTCGAACGCAATCTCTTATTTCATCTTTATGTTCTTCCCTTTGAAGACAGAAAGTCTTATCCTTATCACAGATGAGGAGATTGGAGCTCAGAGAGTTGTAATCATTTGCCAAAAGTCACAGAGCTAGTTGAGAGTCAGAAACAGGCTGGGGCCTGCATCTTTTGACTCTTAATCCAATTATCTTTCCAACACACACACACACACCCATGTTAAGAAAGGTGAATTTATAATTTGAGGAACCTCAAGGGAGTTCTTCAGTAGAAACCCACAGTCCAAGAATAGCCTCCAGAACGGAGCTACAAAAAGACCCAGAGCTAGCACGTGCTTATCTGGGTGCAGAATGAGGGGCCAAGCTAGGGTCCAGACCCCCTCTTCCGGGTCAGCACTGGCCATCGGCCCTATTTCAGTGAGCCTCTAAGTCACATGCGCCACGAGCCATACTGCACTGGACGTAAACCCTAGGACGGCCAGTTTCACAGCACCCAAGTGCTGGAAGGGCTCTTAGCCATTATATTGTCCAGTCTCCTCTCATTTCAGAGACAGGGACAAGGCCTTATCCAGGGACAAGCAAGTTCAGTGACAGCCTTGGTGACAGAGGGTCTCCTGACTCCTGGTTCAGGAACTTTCCTAACTTCAGTCCCCAGATGACAGTTTTTCACACGGACGTAGTGCAGGTGCCCTGATGTGGTTGAGCAATAGGGGACCTGTGGTGGCACAGAATTTTACTTTATTTCTATAAAAGAAAAAGACTTCTTAGAAGGAAATAGGTGATAAAAGTCCCCTAGTTTGACATCTTTCTCAGAAATATGAAATGGAAAAAGAAAAAAACAGCAGTTCTTTTGGGTATTTCTTTCTTTTGGGTTAGCCAAACAATGTGAAGCCAAAAATCTCTTTCTTAGTCTCAGTTTCCCTCGAGCCATTACAGTAAATGAGAGTGCTGTGTAATTTTCCTCTCCTCCAGTTTTTTCCACAGTGCGGTCAAAGGGCCCAGGTACCTGCTAGATACAGGAATCTTATTTACGAAACCAAGTAAATGAATGAAAACCAGGAACATATGCTTAATTTAAAAAAATCACATCATATCCTTAAAAGCCTTAAGCATGTGCCTAATTTTGCATAGTAATTATCTGAAATATTTTAATGGACGTTTAGATTTGTGCTTATACATTTCGTTTGGTTTTACAGTCACCTAATATACTTTGTCGTCCCTGCTTTAGGCTAAGTGAATTCCTTTTTAAATTTTTTTGGAGATACAATGACTTTAATAGGGAGCTCTAGGAATAAAGCTTCTCGAACATACAAACTGGTATAAAGAGTGATTTAGACTAAGGAATTATTGGAAACCATAGTTAAGGTCGTGTATTAAAAGTGTTACAGGTCCGTGTGAAGTAACAGCTGGCCTAACTCACACCCTTCAGTGTGTGGGGGGCATCTTGCCTTTGCAGGCGCTGCACAAGGTCCTGGGCAGTTGGCTGTGAACTGAGCAGATGTGAAATCACAAATGCACAGTCCAGTGGAAGAGAATGGCCTTAAGCAAATAACGCCAAGCTAGTGAAATTACAGTTATGATCAATGCTACGAAGGGGCGGTACAGACAATTGTAAGGGTCTACATTAAAGAAATTGGTATAATATGGGAAGTCAGGAGAGATTTATTTTGAGGGGAAGGGCAATCTAAGGAGAAGGAACGGCGGCTTCAAAGATTATGGCAGGAGGAAGCATGGGACCTTCAAGGCCGATGTGTGACAGAGGAGAGGTTGGCAGGTGCTTCTGGGTCAGTGGGGGAGAGGGGAGCATTTTGGGTTACCATAAGGATTGAGGCTGATGATTGTAAGCATCTAACCAGAAGAGTTCCCACACGACAAAGAACCACCACTTCCTACATCCAAGAGTGACCCATCTGAGACGTGCAGAGCCTGCTAGCTATCATCAGGACTTTGGTCACTGTAGTGGAAAACCACAAAGGTGTTTTTATTGTGGGGGTGGAGAGAAGGGAGATGACAAGGCCAACGTGTGTTCTGAGAAGAACCCTATGCCTGCAGTGCAGAGAGCAGATGGAAGGGGGCCAAGACTGGGACGGAGCCCGGCGGGGAGGACGCTGCTGTCACGGTCCAGGTGACAAGGAGTGGTATTGTCACTGCTTTGCAAGCACTGGACAGAACTTATAAAATGACTGAAGTTATTTCTTTCCAGCCCACATAATAGGACATTAAGCATAAAGAAAAGAGTGTTTAACCCTTGAGCTCCCCAATTTATTTTCCAGTTTTTGACAAGTCACTTCATTCTACTTACAGGACTGCTAAACATGGAGAACCACCTTCCTGCCTTAGGCGCTAACCCCGGAGGGATGCTGGTCACCGCCCCCTGTGCTGACAGCAAATATTTGTCAGTGATAGTCATATCATTTTAGAATTCAAAGGACGTTAGAGACAATCCAGACAGGCCTTCATTCTTCAGAAGACTGAAATCTAGAGAAAATAACGAATAATGCGTAAGATCACACAACTAGTTAATTAAGGATTTGAGGCCAGAAGAAAAAAATAAAAACAAAAAAATCTTCTGGTGTCTAATCCAGTGGGGTTTTTTTTTCCTTCCTATTTCTTACTTAATAATAAATAGCAAGGATCTCGATATGCATTATTATCTGCATATTGGCAATGTAAACTCGTGCTTTGGACGTTACAAAAGGCTATAAAAAATAAACTCTTGATAGTTGCTGAAAGCAAACAGAATTTTTTTTTAAACATTGTAGCTTGTATGTCCACTTTATTATTTTTTTAAATTGAATTTTAAAGCCTTTACGCAGGGTATTCCTTCACTTGTTCACCACAGGCCTTAGCAACACCTAGTGGCGCCCATTTCTGTGAGCTCCTGACCCTGCAGGTACTTACCCCATCCTGACTAAAATGCTGCTCTGTTTCCAACCTCCATGTGACCCACTCAGCAGGGATGAGCCCTGCTGTCCATGGTCTCCTGACCATGTTCAGGCTGGCACTCAGGGAATGCTTGCAGCCCTGGACAGTCCCTTACTTCTGTCTCCAAAAGCTGAGTGGTCCGTTTCCCAAGAGTCAGTCTTGATTGTTCCCCCAAACTATTGATGACAATCTTACTTTTTGGCAGTTACATAATTTAAATAAAATTCATATAAGCTGATGATACATAAGTACAGAAAAGACAGAAGAATTGTGGTTTCTATGTAAGCTAAGTGGAGTGAGCTGCCAAATTTGAATTGGATGTGGGTGAGGCAAATATAAAAGACTGGAAAAATATCACAAAGATCTAAAAGAATTCTGTTTTCAGACAGCTTCATAAATGTCTTCAAATTCAAATTCTCTTGTAAAGTAACTAAAACTAGGATTTGCAGAGGACCTGTGGACCAGAAAGCCCGTGTGGGTCGCCGTTAGTAGATGCCCAGTTGGAAAAGAGGGCGTGGCAACTGAGGTGCACCTCTGTGTTTTTAAGATACAATAAATTAGTCTAGTATTCATGTATTATTATTCATGAACCTCAATTTTAACCAACTGTTTGTTCAACTACCCATATGTCTCTTTATGTGACGATCTATAAGAAAGCTCTTTACATGTTAGACACCATAATACCATTTCTAAAAAAAAATCAGTGTAAGTACCATTATATATGTATGTGTGAGAGTATGTGTGTATGTTTTTCAGCATATTACCTTGTAAAAATTTTATGATTACATACAGATACAAGGAGGATAATTTTCACAATGGTTTAGCGCTCACCTAAGAGATTTCATCCTCGGTGTATCAAACATGGTTGACACTGGGTTTTGAATTCCGTAAAGGTAGATGCTGAAATGAAACAGAGTTTCTAGGTGAGTGCTATGTGTTCTAAATTGTATGTCCCAGAGGGAAGAGCATGTTATATAAAAAGCACT